CATTGTACCTCATCTACAACACATTGTATTTCCCAATTTTTGTCTTATGATCATTTGTCCCCCTCTTACAAGTCCTTTTTGGCATCCATTGTTGTTATTCCCATTCCTAGAACAGTGCAGGAAGCCATGTCAGTCCTTGAGTGGAAAGATGCAATGAAAGTAGAAATGGATGCTCTTCTGAAGAACAATACATGGGAATTAGTTGACCAACCTAAAGGGAAGAAACCAGTGGAGTGCAGATAGGTGTTTGCAGTGAAGCATAATGTTGATTGTTCCGTTGAGAGGTATAAAGCTAGATTAGTTGCAAGGGGATTTACTCAGACATTAAGCATAGACTACTTGGAAACTTTTGCACTAGTAGCCAAGATGAACACTACCAGGGTTTTATTATCTCTTGCAACTGACTACTCATGGCCCTTGTTTCAGATGGATGTTAAAAATGCTTTCCTCAATGGTGACTTGCAAGAAGAAATGTACATGCAGTTGCCCCCTACATTTTATAGTGCAAAAACAGAAAAGAATGTTTGCAGACTTTATATGGACTAAAACAGTCTCCTAGAGCCTGGTTTCATAGATTCAAACAAGCACTTGAGAAGTTTGGCTATGTGCAGGCCCAGTCAGATCACTCCCTTTATTAAGAAAGTGGATACCTCCTTAACATTGTTAGCTGTATATGTGGATGATATTGTGGTGACAGGGAGTGATACCCATGAGATTGACTCTCTTGAGCAACTCCTTCACCAAGAATTTGAGGTCAAAGACCAGGGAGAGCTACGGTATTTCTTGGGTATTGAGATAGCACGGTCTAAGCATGGGATCTTTTTTTTCCAAATGAAGTATGTTCTTGATTTGTTGGAAGAAACAGCGAAGTTGGGTGTTAAACCAACTGACACACCTATTGAACAAAATCACAAGATTAGTGCAAAAGGTGGAGAGCCCCTTGAGGATAAAGTCATGTTCCAACGATTAGTTGGAAAACTTCTCTATGTATGCCTCACACGACCGGACATCAATTATGCAGTTAGTGTTGTTAGCCAATATATGCATTCTCCTATAACTACTCATCTACTTGTAGTTGAGAGGATACTGGCATATTTGAAACCAAGCAGAGGCATACTATTCAAAAATAATGGTCACATGAAAATAGAAGTTTACACAGATGCTGATTGGGTTGGATCTATTGATGAGGTCTACCCCTGGGTATTGTGCCTTTGTAGGGGGTAATCTTGTCTCTTAGAAGAGGAAGAAACAAAATATCGTTGCCCGTTCCAGTGCTGAAACTGAATATAGATCAATGGCAAATGGTGTGGCTGAAGTATTGTGGTTTAAATCCCTATTTGAGGAGTTGGGTATCACTTATGAGAAGCCTCTAATGTTGTATTGTGATAATCAGGCTGCTATTAAAACAACCCATAATCTGGTACAGCATGACAGAACTAAACATATTGAAGTGGACCGACACTTTATCGGAGAGAGAGTTGTTTCACAAGAAGTGTGCCTTCTCTATATCACCTCTAGTATGTAACTTGCAGATCTCTTCACCAAGGCAGTTCCAAAAACAAAGCTCAAGACAGACCTATGCAAGTTGGGAATGACAAACATCTATTCCCAACTTGAGGGGGAGTGTAGAGATCATTAATGTGGTTCTGTGTGGTCCCCAAAAATTTTTTGTTTGTTTATTATGCTGAATGTTTAGTCTTTCTGTTTAGTTACAGTCAACAATTATTTTCTGTTAGTAGTTACTTATTTCTTTTGTAAACAGTAGAGGCAATTCAGGTTTTTCCCCTATTATTTAATTGTTAACATAAATAGCAGTGAGGGGGCGACAGTCAAACTGATCACCTATATTCTTTGACTTCTCCTTTTTGTTTTCTTCTTCTCTTCTCCTCTCCTTCTTCTCTAATTCTCATATCTCTCTCTTGATTCTGTATATTATATCTAGGACTGATTACAACCCCACTCGACAACTGATTGATGATTAAAAAAAGGCTAGAAGAAGGAAAAGCTTGTTGGCTAGAAAGAAATTTTTAAGAAGTGGAAATTTAAGAGGCAGTCTTCTTAGTGGATAGATCTAAGGCATCAGGCCCTGATGGTTTTACAATGGCCTTCTACCAAGATTGTTGGGAGATCTTGAAAGATGAATTTTGTGAAGTATTCAAAGAGTTTGCAAGAAATTACATAATAATCCCAGGAGTTAATGCTACTTTTTTGGCTTGAATTCCCAAAAGGGTTTACGCTTCTCACCCTAAGGACTTTAGACCTATCAGTGGTGACTAGTATCAACAAGATTCTAGCTAAGGTACTATCTTTGAGGATCAAAGAAGTTTTCCCCTCCTTAATCGGCAAATCCCAAGGGGCCTTTATGAAAGAGAGACAAATCACAGATCAGATTCCGGTAGCGAATGAGTGCCTGGAGGACATGAGAAGAACTAAGAAGAAAGGTTTCATTTGTAAGCTAGATTTGGAAAAAGCCTATGATTTGTCAGATTGGCAATTCCAGTTACAAGTTTTGAGAAAATGTGGGTTTGGAGAAGGTGTTGCAAGTGGATCCAGGGTTGTGTCAGTTCTAGTCACCTTTCTATCATGGTTAATGGGGTGGTAAATTTCCAGCTTGTAGAGGTGTAAAGCAAGGGGACCCTTTATCACCTTTCCTTTTTACCTTATTAGCAAATGTACTAAATTGAATGATCTATCAAAAAAAAAAAAAGATCTCAAAGTCAAAGGCTGATAGGGAGAACATCAATGGATGGAAAATAGGCAGGGATTGAGTGTTAGCAACACCTTGGAAGGCAATTCACAATATTCTTCCCCAACTTCACGAATTTATTAGGTATGATGTGTGCTTTGGTAATTCAGTTCTTTTTTGGGAAAATAGTTGGATTGGAGAGGTTCCTTTGAAGGACCTCTTACAGTCATTATTCAATTTATCGCAATATAAAAAAGAGCCCGTGTCAAAATTCTTCTCCTCCCTGGAATCTCCCTTGACACTAGTTTAGGACTTTGATTTCTGTAGAGATCTAAGGGATGAAGAGAGTGAGAGCCTAAGTGACCTTTTTGAGCTTCTTGAAAAAATTTGCTTGGACCCCTCTGAACCAAACAAAAGAATTTGGACGCCTTTGCCCCCGGGTCAGTTCTCTTATGCTTCATTTTTCAAGGCCCTTTGTTGCTCTGAAGTCCACCAAGTCTTCTCTTACAATGAGGTCTGGTGCAAGCCTATTCCCCCTAAGATCTTAGCTTTCTGTTGGGGCATATTCTATGGGAAGGTACACACCCTCGATAATCTACAAAAGAGAAGACCTTATCTTTGCATTTCTGTTGGGTGCAGGTGGAATAGGCCAGCGATTGTAAGTTTGCTTTTTGATCCATCTACCTTTCCTTGGCATCATCGGATAGGAAGATTAATGTGGAGATGTGCAAAGCAGCTTTTCTCTGGACAGTGTGGGAAGAAGTAAATGCCATAATTTTTCAAGAGAAGGAAAGAAGCATACAAGAATTAAAGGACTGCATATTACGTAGGGCCATTTTGTGGCTGAAATCTTTGGACTTATTTCACCATTTCTCTTTTAATGATCTTTGGAGGCATTGGGCAGTAGTGGCAAGTAGCTCCTCAAGGAAGAACAAAGTGTATATGAGTTGGGCACTCCCTCCTGAAGAATTTATAAAATTAAATTTTGATGGCAGAAGTCAAGGTAACCCAGGCCCTCTAGAATGGAGGGTTTACAAGGAATGAAAGTGGTAATGTAGCTATCTTATACTCCGGTCCTCTAGGTGTGGGGGACTCTAGGGCAGAATTACTAGCTTCCCTCCAAGGGGTACAATTTGCATTACAGCTAGTAGTGCAACAGCTACTATTAGAAGGTGACTATAAGGTGGTGGTGGGGTGGCTGCAAAACCCAAAAGGAATGTGGTCTGGTGTTACAAAAATGAACTAAATAAGTATCTATCAAAAAAAATGAACTGAAAATTTTCAAGTGGCTGACAAGGAATATATGCTCAAGGATAAAATGGGAGGGAAGATCAGCTAATGCTATGACTGACAGCTTAGGCAAGCAAGGGGCAAATAGGGAACAATTGTATTGGGCACAGTTGTAATTTGCTTTTTTTTAGTCTGTTGGGCGAGGTTGCAGCTCATGCCTCTACCTAAACAATTGTATGTGGTCTGGTGTTACAAAAATGAACTAAATAAGGTCTATCAAAAAAAAATGAACTGAAAATTTTCAAGTGGCTGACAAGGAATATATGCTTAAGGATAAAATGGGAGGGAAGATCAGCTAATGCTATGGCTGACAGCTTAGGCAAGCAAGGGGCAAATAGGGAACAGTTGTATTGGGCACAGTTGTAATTTGCTTTTTTTTAGTCTGTTGGGTGCGGTTGCAGCTCATGCTTCTACCTAAACAGTTGTAACTTTTTCTCTTCTTTCTCTAATAAAATCTCATTACTTATCAAAAAAAAGAAACCTACCAAGTTAAAACTTGTACAGATTTATTTATGTCTGGTTTATTTCTGCTTTGTTGGATTTAGGCAGCCAGGCATATAATTATTATTTTACACTTATTTTGGTGATATATAAATGCTCTCTACTCCCCTTCTTATTAATTTCCTCATTCTTAATCAAATAAAATAGAGTTCATCAAATAAATTTAGATTCAAGAGAAACAAGTAAACTAGCATATGGCAAGGACAATGCTAGGAATGGGGTGGTAGTAGCAGCAGACTAAAACGTTCATATCATAAACTTGTGAGTGTAAGTAAACATTCATAAAGTAAATACAAAGAAGAAAAAGAAAATGTCACTTAAATAAGAGAAGTCGTAATTAAACTTGCATGATAAGGGAACAAGAATGAAAATAAATTTTGAACTCAATAAGCATGGTCATCAAAAAAATATTGGCAGTACGTATGTAAAAAAGGCCTGAAAAACAACAGATTCATTTATGATTGCAAAGAACATAATGTCTAAAACCTGAGATAGAACATTCATAGCAGCTTAGCCCCCTTACCCAAGTTAGCTCTTCCATAGCATCTACTTTTCTTGTTGTGAAAAAGGCAAGCTACATTTTAGGAATAAAACATTGGTCTATTAGATATAATTCTTTCTCATGTAATACTCTTAAACTACAATGCAACATGTACAAAAAGGATAAGAGAAGTACAAGATAAATAAATACTCTTAAAGAAGAGCAGTAAACCCATACATGATAGTAGTGATGGTCAGGCGTTTCAACTTCGACAGGGATCTCAACCAAGTTAGCATCAAAACATCTACAAGGATGAGAAGTACAAGATAAATAAGATCAAAATGAATGACAATTCAGAATTAATTTTTTTCTGCTAATAATTGAAATAACAAAAAAAAAATTATCACAACATTACTTTCAAAAACAGAAGAATAGACATTGGATGTTTCTAAGGTGCCTAGGGCTAAATCGTAGTGGGAACAAGCTAGAAAAACATTTCTCTCTTCATTCCCACTCTCCTTTCAAAGAGAGACATGGGTATGAAAGGGAGTAGACTTAAAAAAATAACATCCATAAAAATTACTTTTCTTGCTAAAGTAGGATCAAAGCAGCAATATCCTTTTTTGTCAAATGCAAACCCAAGAAAAATACACCCAAACAATTGCAAAGGAACTAAAAACAAAACAATTGGGATACAATAGGCTTGAAGGCATTAAACCCCAAAATGTAAGGAGACATTTGTGAAATAGGTGCTTGTATGCATTGCATCCCCCCCCCCAATATGGAAAAGGAACATTATTATTGAACATATGACTTCTAGACACTGGAACAATATGAAAATTTTTCCTTTTAGCCACCCCATTTTAAAGGGTAGTACATGCACAAGAACTTTGATGATATGGCCCCCTGTAGAGAAGATGGGCTGAATGGCCCATAGGTTGTCTATCCTTTCATATGTTTATATTCTTTTCTGTGGTGGGCCTTATTATGGGTCCATTCTTTCTATGTTATGTTCTTTTAATTTCTGGCCCAACTAAGGGCCTCTTTGTAAATTATTCAAGTTTAACTTAATAAAACAGTGTTAGGGAGTAAGAGGAGAGATTAAGGTTTGAAACTCTCTCTCTCTGAACCCTTATTGCCGCCATCTTCTTCTTCATCTTTTCTTTTGATTTCTGCTGTTCTAGTGTTGGAAGCTTCAGCTTGAGTTGCCTGATTCTTGGAGGTCATTAAAGATTGAAGAAGTTGCCCAAGACTCAAATCTCTTGGAGAGTGGTCCGGTGACCAGGAAGAATCAGAGAAAACAGGTCGGTTTCTGATTTAGAGCTTTAATCAGAGATTGTAAGTTGTGCTCAGTAGTTTCTGGGTTGCTTTTACTGTTCTGGACTGTTGAAGTGTCCGAAGTTTCTTTGGGAACAGTACAGCTATTCGGTTGTTCTTTTAGTCTGGTTTAGCCCAAAAATTTCTGGGTTGGTTTCACTTTTTTTCTGGACTGTCAAGTAGCTAAAATACCTCTGGAATCAGTACTGCTGGTTATTGTTTCCCTTGAACTGTTTTTGGGCCCTTGTACAGACTGTTCTTTGGGCTGGTTTTATTTCTGACAGTGCGGTCTTCTCTACTGCCCACTCTGTGTTTGTTAAAAGGCCTCTTCACCAGTACGGACTGTTCTCTGCTCTTTTTGGGGTACTGTTTGGTCAGTACCTGGAATTTCTGTTTAGAAAAGGAGCTTGGACTGGGTGCTCAGTGTTTGGAGGTTTTCTGATTTTATTTCATTAAGGCCGAACCAAGTTGGTTGGTGTCCCATGTAGTCAACAAGGTGCTACTTCTATTTCTGGTTCTCACAGCTTTCGGGTGTGACTCAGATTTGTGATACTGCTGCTTTGAAGTGTTTAAAGAGATGAACTCCTCAGAGATTGAAAACAAGAATGCTGCTGAATTCGGACAGGTTCCGGGAGCTTCGGTTGACTCTTTACTGACTGTGACCACAATCAAGCTGGATGGAACTAATTATCTAGCATGGTCACAATCGGTAAAGATTCATATCTGTAGTAGAGGAAAGTGGGGTGGATGCAAGTGGATGCAAGAGAAGTATAATGTTATTGGGTGGCTTGTAAACTCAATGCAGCCACAAATTAGCCAGCACTATTTGTGGATGAATTCAGCCAAGGAAATTTGGGATAGTGTTGCAAAAACCTATTCCCAAAAATTAAATGTGCTAGAGCTTACAAGTTAAGAAGTGATGTGAAGAATTTAAGACAGGGAGAGAAACCTTTAACTGTATACTTCTCAACACTGAAGTCTTTGTGGCAAGAGATAGATTTGATAGAAAYTGTAACCTGGGACACCACTAATGATGCAGAGACCTACAGGAAACTGGTTGAAAGAAACAGGGTGTTTGAGTTCTTAACCGGACTAAACCCAGAGTATGATATTACAAAACAGAATATTTTATCCAAGGAGAGTGTCTCACTGTCACAAGCATATGCATTGGTAAGTAGTGAAGAGAACAGAAGGATTGTCCAGGCTCAAGGGGCTGGTCTAAATGATCACTTTGCTAATATGGGAGTGAAACCCAAAGGAGTTGCAGGGACTTCTAGTGGCTCAGGGAAGAAAGAGGATGTATGTGAGTACTGTAAAAGGCCAAAACACACTAAAGACAAGTGCTGGAAATTACATCCTGATCTTGTTCCTCTTCGGTTTCAGAAAAAGCATGATAGTAAAAGGGCAGGGAGTGCTAATGTGGCTGTTGATCCAGATTGTGACAAGTACCATACTGAAGAGATGACTACTAGTGCACAGCAGCCATGAAAACAAAATATCAGTCACCTAGAGGGTGTGGCTTCTCCTTCCAACCCTTCAGGAAATTCAGCCTCTTCTGCATTTGCTCATTCAAGTATAAGGGCTTCTACCAATCATGCAACCATTTCAAGTAATCTTAAGATCCCTTGGATTATTGATTCAGGTGCTTCTAATCATATGACCAACATTTCTACCTTATTTGTTTCATATGATTAGCTTCCTGGACGTGACAAAATCACCCTAGCCGATGGTTCTCTTGCCTCTATCTCTGGCAAGGGAGCCATTAAGGCTATAGATTCCTTGTTCCTACCTTCTTCCCTTCATGTACCTAGACTAAATACAAATTTGTCTTCTGTAAGTAGTCTAAGTCATTAAACTGTTGTGTAACCTTCTTTCCTTCCTACTGTGTTTTTCAGGATCTGGAGTCTCAGAAGGTGATTGGGAGTGGCCATGAGGCGAATGGAATATACCTGCTTGATACTYCGGGRYAGTGCCCTGAACAGCCTGGAAATGTTGCTTTTGGGTCTATATCTTCAGAGTCTATCAATTGAGTTATGTTATGTCATTTTCGTTTGGGTCATCTTTCCTTTTCTGCATTGAGTCATTTATTCCCTGAACTGTTTAAGGGAATTAGTTTGTCCAATCTTCATTGTGAGTCTTGTGAGTTGTCAAATCATTGTAGAAACAATTATCCTTTGAGTAATAAAAGATCTTCTTCTCCTTTTAATATTGTGCACTCTGATGTGTGAGGGCCTTACCACTTACCCTTTATGGGTGGTTACAAATATTTTATCTTGTTCATTGATGACTTTTCTCGGTTTACTTGGATATTCCTGAAGAAATCCCGTGATGAAGTTCCCAGAATTGTGAGACAATTCCATGAATTTGTCCTAACCCAGTTTGATACCAGGATTAAAATTTTCAGATCGAACAATGCAAAAGAATATTTTGAGAAAAACTTATCCTACTACCTCTCTGACATGGGGATTATTCATCAAAGTTCCTGTGTTAGGACCCCAGAACAAAATGGAGTTGCTGAAAGGAAAAATATGCATATTGTTGAAGTTGCAAGAAGTATCTTGTTTGCCTCACATGTTCCTACAAAGTTTTGGGGTGATGTTGTTCTCACTGCTACCTACCTTATAAACCGCATGCCATCCAGGATCTTAGGGTTTAAGTCTCCTTTCAGTCTTCTTCATCCGAACAAGGAGCTTTTTTTCTATTCCTCTTCGTGTCTTTGGTTGCACTTGTTATGTACATATTCCTAGTGTCCAAAGACATAAATTTGAACCAAAAGCCCACAAGTGTATCTTCCTTGGTTATTCCCCCACACAGAAGGGTTACTGTTGCTTTGATCCAAAGACTGATACTCGATATGTCACAATGGATGTCACCTTTGATGAGCTTTCTTCCTTTTATGGTTCCTCCATGGATGGACATTGTCCAAAGGGGGAGGATTTGTCACAGGTCTTTGCTCTTCCTCTTCCTGTCTCGGTTGAGACTCTTACTGAGTCTCTTTCTTCTTCAAATGAATCAAGGGAGGATCAATCATTCCACTCTCCTTGTCCCAGTGTTCCCCCCCCCCCCCTTTACCTCCTCGTCCTCTCTTTAATCCCAGGATGTATCAAAGGCAAAGATCCAAAAGTGAGCAGGTTGTTTCCCCTACAACACATGAGCCTCGTGCACTTCCAGTTACAGATGAGACAACAGGTACTTTTTCAGCCCCTTTGGAGCCATCCTTCCCTGACCTTGATATTCCCATTGCTGTTAGGAAAGGAAAATGGATGTGTACTGCACATTGCATTTCCAAACACCTTTCTTATAGTCTGCTTTCTCCTTCATACTTTGCCTACCTCTCTTCTGTTGCCTCTAACCCTATTCCCAGGTCTGTGTCAGAAGCTCTTAATATTCCAGAATGGAGGGATGCTAATGAGATCCGAAATTGATGCCCTACACAAAAATGACACTTGGGAAGTGGTTGATTTGCCTGAAGGGAAGGATCCAGTTGATTGTAAGTGGGTCTTTACCATCAAATATCATGCTGATGGCACCATTGAGAGGTACAAGGCTAGGCTAGTTGCAAAAGGCTATACACAGACATATGGGATTGATTATTTGGAGACCTTTGCACCTATTGCCAAGATGACATCTGTGAGAGTTCTTCTATCTTTGGCTACTCACTCTGACTGGCCACTTTATCAATTGGATGTAAAGAATGCATTTCTGAATGGAGAATTAAATGAGGAGGTTTATATGTCTCTTCCTCTAGGGATGTATGAAGCAGATATGAAAGGAAAGGTATGCAAGCTGAAGAGATCTCTTTATGGACTAAAACAGTCCCCTAGAGCATGGTTTGAGAGGTTTAGAGTTGCCCTTGTTAACTTTGGCTATGTACAGACACAGTTTGATCATACTCTCTTTGTGAAGAGGAGTGGACTCCTGGCAGTATACCTAATTGTGTATGTTGATGATATTGTTGTGACTGGTAATGATGTTTCAGGAATTAAT